CATTTTTCTTGTAAAACAAGGGGGGCCCAGCAAAAAAGGTTTGGGAACCACTGGGTTAGGTTACCCTAACCTATTTAGGTTACCCTAGGTTACCCTAAAATAAAAGTTTTCACTTAAGCCGCTTTCTGGAATGGGCCTTGCATTTCACAATAAATTGATTCACTGTGCTGCTGAACAACAGTTTTTTTCCCTACTTTTGTCTAGACTGTATCTCTCTCCCTTGAGTTTGTCACGGGTAGATTTCGATCAGTTTTAGACGTCTGCAGGATAAATGAAGCAAACAGCCTGAACTTGTACTCAATCTGGACTACCACAGCAAAGCGTCTGAATTCATTTGTCGTCTGGTACGGTCATAGTGATCAACAAAAGGTAACTTTATTAACAAAAACAATAATTTTTTTTAAAACAGGAATCCCAACAAAGCAATAATAAAGACACACAGCAGCTGTGTGCTCCCACCACAGTGATGTTGAGGGACAGGCTGACAAACATGATGGGAAAAGGGAGGACTGGAAATACACAGAAAAGTAACTGAAAACAAGGTGGGGCAGTTGATCATGGAGGTAAAAGGACACAAAGCAAAAAGAGAAGCATAGATGACGTTATTACCAAAATAAAACAGGAAGGTACCATAGAGAAGCTCACACAAGGGCAAACAGGGTGACACGGAGAAGCACAGGAGACACAAAGAAAACTTGACCATAGCTTTTATAGTTGAGGGATTATAGTTTTTGTATAAAATCCCACTCTAAAGTATTTGCAAAGTGGGCCTGTTGAGATTCTACAAAGCTCTGACCTATTTGGCTTTACAAAACCATGTGTGCATCCTGCTGTCATCACAAAACAGTAAGCTCAATGCATGTTTTTTTAATCCCCATCTTTGCATCATTTTAAGTCAGTCGGTTCATTGTGGCCTCAGATTTGCTTTTATGTTGACAAGGCCAAAGTTATTCTTCACTATCCACCCATCATAAATATACTACGACTTGACAAGATTATGCCCCATCATAATACTGCACTGGCTTTTGCACTCTTCCTTTATCCTCCATCCTCATGTATCATTCTAAAATACAAACAACTCATTATTATCAATTATTTGTGATTGGTGTTCATTCAGAACCCATTCATTATCCCTCCCCATTTGTCTCAATATTACATTTTAGGTCAACTTATTCTTCATGCCGAGCAACATTACAGAAATCCCTGTTGTACATCAGAACGGAGCGAAGGGAGGAAGAAAAGAAGCGGCAAAGAGTGATTTTGAATAATTAGAGCAGTTAGTGAGATAAAGAAGCATACAGTAAGAAACAGTAAAGAGGAAAAGGGGAACGGGGAGGTGGGGGGAGATGAAGGACGGGGTCTTTGTGTGTCACTTTGCTGATGATAAAAGAAGCTTCAAATGCATCAGTAGAACAAGTGAAAACAGCATGAAAGCTCTTACTTTGAACTGACTGCTTCATAGCTGGAGAAAGTATTGCTCTGTTTCACTGAAAGTTACCAAAGATTTTTTTTTTTGATTTGCTCTGGGCTCTATCCTGGCCATTTGTGGCCACTTCACTTTTCTTTTTTCAACCATTTTTGCTCTGTTAATGCAAATGGAATGAAACGTCCCTAAGGTGTGTATTTTTTTTCAGATTTTTTAATTTTCAACATCAGCTCCTTAATAATATCAATAATATTCACTATACACCAAATTGTTCCTCTTGACTCTATCGTGGCCATTTTTGGCCAATTGAAACCCATTATAACCACTTTTTTGATTCCTTGTTATTGACAGTACTATATTATGCGATTTAGGTAAAATTGCTTTCATTCTAAACTCAACACATGAAAATTGTCGTTTTTAATGTTTTCTACCAAATTACATCATTTACCCATTTCAAACCTGCAGCTGCAGCGCAAACAACAACAAACACTGTTTGTAAACGTGTCCTGGAGTTTCTGCAGGTGCAGACAGAGCTACTGCTGTAAGCAAGCCTAACAGCTTAAGTCTGATCTGTTAGTCTCTAAAGTTACACTCATTTCCACTCAATGCAAGTCAGGAGTTTTGGGAGTCCTTAGCCACCCTCTTATTTTATGTGATGATCTTATTGAGCAGGCTTACAGCAATCTCGGCTTTACACAATTATTTTTTTATCTTCTCCAAACTTTTTTCTATAAGGACAAATCCACAAGGACACTGCTGTGATTGTGCATACATTAATCCCTTTTCAAAAGAAGATAAAGCCTCGTTTTTTGGACTTTTTTTGTTGAAACAGCACAAGTTTCTGGGTTTTGGGTGGGTCTTTCAGGCACACTGCCACCTACCTCATGCACTGACTGCAGAATATGATACTAATACGCTTTTTTTTTGAAGAAGAAGAAGAAGAAGAAATAGGAGACATATTTTTGGTTATGTAGGACATCACACAACCTAAGTCTGCTATAACCCGCCCTTAGCAGGAACCAATTGCTCTTTCAATTTAGAATTTAAATAAAGAAACTGGCTAACCTAGCTTAGCACACTAAAAGTAATTTCATACTTTGACTTGATACATTTCTAGATTTTTTAATTATAATCTCACAAAGTATTTGTTTTTCTACTAACATAACAGAATGACCTCTCTGAACAGGCTGGCAAAGCAACTTACAGTTTTATATTTTTTATAATTAGTCGACCAAGTGCACACATTTCAGTAAAATTGTGTGTTGGTGTTGTGGCTCCATGGTGTAGTGGGTTACACATTTGCCTTGCATATGAAAGATCCCCACACAGAAAAACCCAACCTTGTTCCACTCACCAAGGCCAGTGAAAATGGGAGGTTTGCTTCAGGAATGGCAGCTGGCATAAAATCTATGGCAACCATGCTGAGCCATCCACTGCAGCGATTTATTTACCTTGGGAAATAAGGGAGCAGCTAAAAATACAGTGCATCCACAAAGTATTCTCACTGTTTAACTTGTTCCCCGTTAATCATGTTACAGCATTTAATCAAATGGATTCAATTCATTTTTTGTATCTCAAAATTCTACACACAGTGGCCCATAAAAACAATTTGAAAAGATGTGCTTGAAACTCTTGCAAATTTATTAGACATAAAAAACAAAAATATAGCATGATTTCACAGCCTTTACTGAGACACTCGAGTCTGGGCTCCGGTATCCTGTGATCATCTGTCAGATGTTTCTAGAACTTGATTGGAGTCCACCTGTGGTAAATTCAGTCAGCATGTCAGAGCACAAACCAAGCCATGAAATCCAAGGAATTGTCTGTAGACCCCAAAGTCTTGATTGTATTGAGGAAGTGATCTGGGGAAGGGTACAGAAAAAAACGTCTATTACATTGAAGGTTTGAGTGAACATAATGGCCTCCATCATCCAAGTTTGGAACCACCAGGACTCTTCTTAGAGTTGGCCACCCGGCCAATCTGAGCAGTCGGAGTAGAAGGGCCATAGTCAAGGATGTGTTCAAGAACCTGATGGTCACTCTGACTGAGCTTTACTTCACCATTTTTGAAGCACTCCACCAATCAGGCCTGTATGGTAGAGTGGCCAAACTCGAGCCATTCCTCAGTAAAAGGTGCATGACAGCCCAAATGGACTTTGCCAAAAGGCAACTGAAAGAGTTTCAGACCATGGGAAACAAAAACAGATTGAACTCTTTGGCTTGAATACCAATACCATCCCTACAGTGAAGCGTGTTGGTGGCATCATCATGCTGTGAGGGTGTTTTTCAGCAGCAGGATCTAGGAAACTAGTCAAGTGTAACCCTGAAGAGTTACTAAGGGTTTTAGTGTGTTATGAGTGGTGTTAGTATTTTGAGTTCACTGTTAAGTTTTATTAAGTTAAATTATTTTGTTGAGAATTAATAAAATAGAAGATGTCTATAATGTCCTGTTGGTCCTTGAAGTATACAGGGGGAAGTACCGCCTCCTGCCGTTCACTGGGTAGCAGCTACGGATATCAGGAAAGAGGAAGAAAAGTCCGTTTTTTTCCTAGTGGAAAGCGTGGTTGCTTTTATTCAGT